CGTGCTCCACGTGCGCCGAGTGTGCCGTTGTGACAGCCGCGCCAGGTGCGCCACGTTCGGGGCACGGGTACAGTGTGCCAAGTGCGCCACACACATCGGGGAACATGTCGGCCTCCACCATCCTGGTCGAAATGTAAAGTGAACGCGGGGCGTGAGCGCATGATCCAGATTTTGGTAATAAGTGTGGCAATACGCCGTTCCCCCCGTTGTCCCTGTCAAAGACCACGGCGCAGCGCTTGCGATACATCCGCGCATGATCCAAATGGTGGTGCAAAGTGCACGTTGTATGGTTTTATGCATGTGATGGTTGGGGGGTGTTGGCATTGCGCACAGCAGGCAATATGCCGCCACCCCCGCGGTCCCTGTCAAAAACCAAGGTGAAGTGATCGCGAGGCGTCAGCGCATGATACAGATCTATAGGGTTTCGCCACATCCGCCGACCCCTATATAAACTATTGCGCCTCCGGGACTGCATTGCACGAGGCTTGTCCGAACCATGACACGGCGCTCGACATCGTTCCTGATGCTTCGTTGCTGTATCGTACCTCTTGGTGCTCTTTTGTGGCCTTTTGGTGGTATCTTGGCCTATCTGCAGGCCATATCCGGCCGCCTCCAGGCATCTTGGGCCAAGTTTTGGGGCCTCTCGGGGGCTTCCGGGGGGCTTCTTGGAGGCCTTGGAGGTTCCCTTGGGGGTCCCTCAGGGCCTCTTGGGCTGTTCTTGGGGCGGGCTGGGGGCGTCTTGGGGCCGAAGGCTCGAAAGGGTGCCCTCTGGACTCCGTCTTGGAGCCGTCTGGGGGCCCTCTTGGGCTGTCTTGGGGGCTTCGTGGGCTGTTGTTGGACCCTCTTCGACCCTTCTTTTGGGCCCCTTTGGCCGTCTGGGGGCGATCTTGAAGGTTTCTTTGCCCGTCTGGGACGTGGTGAAAACAGAATAGGCGAGCATGCGAAACATGCGTTTTTTTCGAAGCGAATGGGACGATTTCGTTTCTTGGGGCCCTCTTGGGGCGCATCTAGGGGGCTTTTTGGGGGCGTTTTGGCAGCTTCGGAGGCCGCCTGGAGGCCATCGTGGGCGTCCAGGGGCGATATGTCGGCGAACCGTGGCCCCCTGGGACCGTCTGGGGAGCGTGTTGGTGCCTATTTGGCCAGTTTGGGAGCCTTCCGCTCCCCCGTGACGCGCTCGGTCCGGGGTCGCGCTCGGCCAGAGGGGGCGGTCAAATTACCAGTTTAAGGTCCCGGGGGGGGATTATGGGGGGTCGGAGGAGGAGGAAGAGGAGGAGGAGGAGGAGGAGGAAAAGGAGGAATGACGATTTGGTTTGGAGGCGTGTACTCCTGTCCCTGGTGGCCTTTCGGAAAGATGTCCGACACTTCGGACAGCGTGTGCGTCACCCTGGATTACGAGACCCTGTACAGGTGTCTGGACCGTGCAATTTGTCATGGCCGCCGGTACAAATCAACTTGGTAGGGGGTCCGAATCTCAGTGGTGCTTCGCGGGGTCTCTTCGGAACGCTGTGGAGGGCAATGTCAGATGGTGGAGGGATACTGCGTAGTCAGTGCGTTTTTCGTGGCAGACTTTCGAAGTGTTCGCCGTGCAGGCATGGGGAAATACATGCGAACACCCGCGCTCATAGACGGCAGGCGTGGGTCCAAACTCCGGACGAGTGGTTCTCGAATAGCACGCAGCGCATCCCGCCACCTTGCTTGGGTTGCGGGTATGCGGCCACACGGATGGTTGATGGGATCTCGTGGGAGGCCTGCAAGCTGGGGGCGTCTTGGGGCCGAAGGCTCGAAAAGGTGCCCTTTGGACTCCGTTTTGGAGCCGTTCCAGGCCCTCTTGGGCTGTCTTGGGGGCTTCGTGGGCTGTTGTTGGGCCCTCTTCGACCCCTTTGGGGGGGCCCTTTGGGCCGTCTGGGGGCGATCTTGAAGGTTTCTTTGCCCGTCTGGGACGCGGCGAAAACAGAATAGGCGAGCATGCGAAGAGTGCTTGCTTTTTTCAAAGGGAATGGGCCGATTTTTGTTTCTTGGGGCCCTCTTGGGGCGCATCTAGGGGGCCTTTTGGGGGCGTCTTGGCAGCTTCGGAGGCCGCCTGGAGGCCATCGTGGGCGTCCAGGGGCGATATGTCGGCGAACCGTGGCCCCCTGGGACCGTCTGGGGAGCGTGTTGGTGCCTATTTGGCCTGTTTTGGAGCCCTCCGCTCCCCCGTGACGCGTTCGGTCCGGGGTCGCGCTGGGCCAGGGGGGGCGGTCAAATTACCAGTTTGGGCCCCCTCGGGGGGGATATGGGGGGAAATCTCACATGCCTAGAGACCCACAAGGGGTCAGCGGATTTTGGTGCAAATTGCGTTCGGCGTTGTTTTGTGCACGGAATGATGGGGGGGGGCTTGTTGGCGCAGCACACGGCAGGCAATGTTCTGGCCCCCCCACCGCCCCTGCCAAACCTTACTGCAAAGTGGTCGCGAATTCGAGCGCGTGGTCTAGATTTTGATAAAACGTAAGATTTAGAACATGTGATCCAAAGGGGTGGTGGGGGTGTCAGCACTGCAGACAGCAGACAGTGTGTCGTTCCCCCCACCGTCTCTGTCAAAGACCAATGCAAAGTGATCGCGGTTTGTGAGGTGTGGTGGAGGGGTGGGTCGTCATGATCCCAGGTTTGTCGCCGGTCGGGTGGGTGAAGGGGTGTGCACTAATATGGAGCAGTGATCAAGCCGCCTCTCCCAGACGCAGACTGTTTGGCTCACCCCCACCCGCTGTTTCACCCCAGACATGGCATCCGAGTCTCAGCATATTCAACAGTCGTCTTTGGGTCGCCAGCTATTGGACACAAGTACAGACCCCAAGTCCGCGACGCACTCCTGGTCCGCCAAATGCGCCACGTGTTTCACGTGCGCCAAGTGTGCCGTATGCCCCAGCCGCGCCAGGTGCGCCACCTTCGGGGCACGCGCAGAGTGTGCCAGGTGTGCCCCCCACACATCGGGGAACATGTCGGCCCCCACCATCCTTGCCGACAAACCGTCTACAATCGCGGCAGAGTGGCCATCATTATGCCTGGTGGTCTGCACGCAGGCAATATGCCAGCATGCCCGCTGTCTGTCAAATCCCTGTGCAAAGTGATCGCGGGGGGCCCGCGAATATCCAGATTTAGCCGCGAAGTCCAGTTAGCATTGTTTTTTGGTAGAGATGGTGGCCTTGCCGTCACTGTCCACAAAACACAAACAGCTCGCGTCCCCCCCCCCCCTCCTCGAACATGACCCGAGATTTTGCCGCAAAGTGAACTTTGCACTGTATTTTGGCAGGGATGGCAGTGGAGCGGTCTGGGAGGGGATGGGGTGAATATGGGGCCGTGACATATTTATCCCGGAGGGGAAGATTAATGTTGGAAGGGAAAACCAACGCCCTAAACAATTTGCGCCCTGAGGGGCTGGTGGTACTCATCCAGTCGCGCTGCCGCTCGAATCCACCACATCGCTCTAGCAGATGCCTGCGGGAGGAGGGCCCGCGGGGCGGGGGTGGGCGGGCGATAAGGATGCATGCCATGGAGGTTCCGTTCCGAACTTCTGATGGTCACGATTTTTGTCCCAGGAAGGGAACGAAACACAACGCGGGACTTGGCCAAACAAAAGGGAGCGCATGCTACACATGTTTGGCCAGCATCGCGGGGGTTCGGCGAGCAAGGAGCGGAATGCACCAACGAAGAATGGGTTCGGCGCGCGCACACATGCAGATCCACATTGACACCAACTCGCTGCAACTGCCGTGGCGGACGTTTGCCCCACTAACGTGCATCAGTATTCACTTATGCGCAGGATGAGGTCGATTCGTCGGAATCGAGCGCGATTGCTCCACGTTTTGCTCCGTTTTCGGCAGTTTTCATAACATCCAATCTGTCCCGCGCCGCATGGTTACCGCTCCCATGATTGTTACAGCAGCTGTTGTTTTGCCTCAGGTATTGTTTCTGGTATTGATTCGCTCAAGTGTTGCTGCCTTGCTCTCAACGTTTACTTCCAGCAGGCAGCTATTTTACTCCGGAGCGTGCGCAACATCAGAGTATTGGGTTCTACAGGTACGTTATTCTACTTGCATTTGAATATGTCCCGCCATGTCGTTGCCATGATGTCCCTTCATACCCACAGATGTGGTGCTGCTGGTGTTTCTGCAAGCCTATCACTGCACTCCTCGTCAAATCGGTGCAGTATGACACGTGTTGCTGATAATCACGGATACTCCTTGCTGCATAACTCTGGCTATCGGACTGCATTGCGTACGCAAGTTTGTCGCGAAATGCGCACCTACACTCACGGATAAATCCTTGTATACACATTTTTGATACAGGGGTGGATTCGTTTCGTTCCTCGCAGCGAGGAGATCTTGTGCCGTGCTTCATGCCAGTTCCCGGCGCGACTTGCCGTTCGTCCGAGACACGTGCGCGAGTGCGCCTGATGCCTGTCGGGGTCTTGGCGAAGGGCTTGCTCCTCTTCCGCTACCCAGGTGGGCGGCCGTACGGGATGCCCTGGCAGCGTGTCGATGGCGTTCAGTGGGATGTTGTTCGCACAGCCATCGCTCACTAAGAGTAGGTATATGTGAATCCCAGGTTCCAATTCTTTTTGGGGCGCCTTTTCTATTTCAAGGATCGGGCTGTGTTCCCGCTTCCTCTTCAGGGGGTTGCCGGAACCCCAGTCCGCTTTCAACGCCTTTGCACATTTTGTTTTTACCCGCTTCTTTCGAAGGATAGGTCGTCCTGCTGTGGTGCTGACCCAGGACGGCCCAAAGAGAGTCGAAGAGCCTGCAGAGAGCCCAGCAGGAAGGCCCCCACTGGCTCCCGACAGGCACCACCAGGTGTCTGATGGATGCTGCCTTTATTTATCGTCGTTTCGTTCTCAAGAGCGTCCACGACGACCCCAAAGCCCCCAAGATTGACCCAAGGCGGCCCATCCTCGGAGGAGGTCCAGCTGAGACAACGGCGGCTCTCCCGATTGGCCAAACCCCGCTCAGTATCGGTCCCTGGACCACGCCCAGGCTTAATCCTCAAGGAATTTTCCAGGGGGGTTCAGCTGTGGCGACGAGACGCCCCCAGGTGGCTCAAAAACTTGTGAGAACCGTCAGGGAGGGCCGCTAATCGTCTACACTGGGCCTCTGCCGTCCGTAGCCATTTTGGCTCAAGCTCGAGGGGTGATGAGGGATGCCGGCAGAGCATGGCGCCCCCGACGCCCGGACGGGAAGAGCATGGCACGCCGCGGCGCGGCTGGGCCTCCTGTCCTGCGGCCTCTTCGGCCCAAGGCCGACCGCGGTCGTGCCGCTCACGGCGCCTCCGCCAGACAGCCCCCTGTGGCAGCCCCTGGCGCCAGCGCGGCGCCGCGACGTGGCTGCGGCGGCGCACATAGCGCCGTCCCCCCTCGACGCGTCCTCCGCCTCGTCTGGGCGGCGGCCGCAGGACGTGCCGCACGCAGGGGGCCCAGATGGCCTCTCCGCCTGGGAGAAGATAGTGACCGGCGCCCCGCCAGCAGGGCCCTTCAGCGGCTGGAGGGGCGCCCTGGAGGGCCAAGGCGGGAAGAGGATCTCGAGGAAGAGAAAGCAGAATAAGCATGAGATTCCGGAGGTCCGCGCAGATTTCGTGGATTTGCGCTGGAACCCCATGGCAGCGCCTCCTGCGAGCGCGCCAGGGGTGGGGGAGGCTCCAGCGCAGGTCCAAGAAGTCTAAGCGGACCTCCGGAAGTTGATGCTTGTGTTTTCTGTTCTTCTTCTAGGATCGGCGCGGCCCGGGCCGTGCATTACGTTATCGATCCTGCTGACCCGCGCACCGGGAAGTTGGGCAGGAGGCTGCGGAGGAGGCTTGGACTCTCCGTCTGGAGGGACTTCGCGATGGACCTGTTCAGATCGAACGACTTGCAGCACTGGAGCAAGGGCACCTGGAAAAAACTCGAGCAGGAGGAGAAGCATCTTGCTCGCGAGCTGGGCTGCATCGAGGTCCTAATGGGGCCCATCTTGGAGGCGGAACCAGACGCTGACGCGGATGGTTCGGCAGGCGGGGCTCGGCTCCGCGGCAAGCTGCTCGGGGGCTTCAAGGTATATTGCGTGCCGTCGGCGATGGCGCTCGCGGGCGGTTTCATCGACCGGCTCGGCGAGTGGTGGCCACTGCGCGATGGCACCCTGAGGGTCTGGGAGCAGCTGGAGGAGAGCGGGGTGGAGTTGGCGGAGATGGAGTCTGCCCCACTGACGATGCAGACGCTTTTCTCGGAGACCCCAGGCCTGGAGGATTACGACCCCGTCAGCTCTGCCGCATTTGCCGAGCGCGTTTCGAAGATCGTGGTCGCCTCGCCCCGCGTGGCACGTCGCGCAGGCAAGAAGCAGACGGAGCGGGAGGCGAAGCTGGCCAGGGAGGTGTTGCGGCAGATGAGGAGTGACGACTTTACGCCCGAGGTGGTGGAGAAGGTCTACCGCGAGGTGGACCGACGGCTGCCTCGCTCTGGCCGACATGGCTTGTTGCCTAATCTCCACACGCGCAACGTGTACAACATGGTCGCAGACGTGATCCAGTTGCCTGTGGCAGGTCCCGCCACCATGCCAGGCCACCACTGCAGAACCTTGAAGGGCGCCAGGAATGCGTAAGGCCGCCCAGGAATTCTTGGGAGCGGGGGGGATGCGTGCATGCGTTGGCGCAACCAGGAATTGGGGGGGGGATCATGTGGAAGGTCACCGAAATACTACCAGACAGCACGTGGCATTCCAACACGCCCACACCGTACAGTCGCGGTGGCGGATATTCGCACAGGCGAAGACCGATATCGAGCCTTACATGCTGCGGAACGCCTCCGTCCCCAGGGAGTTGGTGCAGAAGTACGTGCGACTTCGCGATGTGAACAAGGGCATGGCCATCAGAAGCACGAGCGCCCACAGGCGGGCCGAGATCGCCTCGCGGAACCTGGAGAAGTACAACGACGCCCGCGGTCCGGGCACGTCCCTGGACAGGCTGATTGCGATGAAGGGCACGCTGGGTGCCGTGCTGGGGTCGTTCGCCACGCGAGGGCGTGACCTGCTGCTGTGGGGGAACAAGGCTGGGGACAAGATCGACACGTGGCGTTGGCTGTCAGAGTCGGGCAGCCCAGTGAAGAGTCCGTGGCGGGTGAAGGACTCACAGGTGCGCGCCTTCAAGGACCGCGAGTTGCGCCGCCTCTTCGGTGGCGGCACGGGTGACCCAGAGTGATCTGGAGCCACATTCGGCTTGGGCCAGGTTGGCTGCATTTATCGTTTCACCCTGGGGGAGGGTTCAAAGAATAATAATAATAATAATAATAATAATAATAACACATCGTACACAATGTGGTTTGGAGCTCTACGAGGATTTCTTGCATCGTTGCTGGACACCCCTCCCTTGCGCGCAGAGCGCGCCAAGGGCGGCGCTGGAGGAGCCGCCAGGGGGCCCGCCGATCTAAGAAGTCCGCGCAGACATCCTTCCGAAAGTGATCGAAGACGCCTACGGCGAATCACCGCCGTCCCCTGCCTTCTAGAATCGCCCATGTGGCCGAGCGTTGTGGCAAGAGCTCTGCCTAGCTATCGGACCATGTGTTCCCCCAGCCGTTGTAGAAATCTTCCGGGGAACACTTGGGGGAGAATGGCGGGAAGATCAGGAGGAGGAGGAGGAGGAGGAGGAGGAGGAGGAGGAGGGGGCATCTTGGGAGCCTTTTCGGGTATTCTTGCGGCCTCCTGGAAGCTTCCTGGGGGCCTCTTGGAGGCACCTTAGGGGCCTCCTTGAGCCTCTTGGGAGCCTTTGGGGGCTTCTCGGGAGCCTGTTTGGCCATCTTAGCGTATTCCTGGCCCGTCGGACGCCGTCGGAAGCCGTCTTGGGGGCTTCTCTGGGCCAACTTTGGCATCACTCCCCACCTCCGATCACACAATTCCTTTCTCTCTTACGCCACCCTTGTGGGCTGCTGTTGCCATGCCGGCGGAAAAGCATATTATTTCTTCTCCTGAACCGCGACGCTCGGCACTGAAAGGTGGGCAGGACAAAGTGGCTCGCACTGGTAACTCGCCGCTCAAGGTCGACCAAGAAGGCACTGGCTCGCGTCAGGCCCTGCTCGAACAGCAGCTGAATGACGCCGACAAGATTAACACCGCGGGCACCAACGTGGCTCTTGGAGCGGCTCTGACTGCAGAGACGTTCAAAGAAATCCTGAAAGAACAGCTGGCACCACTCCGCAACGACATCGCGGCCATCAAGACGTCCGGGATCTCGCGCGAGGCCCGTGACACTGCAGTGCAACCTCTTCAAGCATCAATCGACGACATTACCAAGCCTTTATCGGCATTGGAAACTTCGTCCCGGCCGTCATCCGCAAAATCCGCAGAGACAGCGGATTCGACTACCAACGCCAAACTACTGCAGCTCGAGATGGACATCGACGCAATGAAGCAGCAAAGAGCTACTCCAGCACGTCCGGCAACACACGTCACCCACAGCACCAACAGCATCACATAATCACAGACAAGAGGGACATCACTGCTGTCATCGGAAACCTTGACGACTTCGACACCTTGGAGGCCACAAGCGCTCGGATCAAGCAAGAACTAAAACGTCGAGGGGCACCGGCACCAACCAACATGTACGCCAAGGGAGAATTCAACGATATGCTATTCATGGAGTTTTCCAGCTTTGACGACGGAAACCTTGCGGTTGGTCAGATTCGGAGCGCCAAGATCAACAAGAGCGGGCGACAGATTTGAGCCACAAGCGATCGTCCACCACTGATCCGCGCTGCACGCACCTATTATTTTGGCGTCAAATACATTCTGAAGGACACAATTGGCATCGCCTACCCCATACGCGTCGACGACACGGACCAACCATACATGGTAACAGTTGGTGGAGAGTTGGCTCTTACCGTGGAGATCGATGGAGGCGCGGTAATCCGGGAGCGGGCCCCTGGTGAATGGGCAGATTGGGAGGCCTTGCACAACCGCGCAACATTGACCGAGCTTACCACGAAATTCGATGAGATCGTCACCCGTGCCGCGACGACTCTAAAAGGCTCCGCAAAGGGGGGGTCCATAGGGTCCAAATAGGACGCATGGCGGGCCCTGGTAAGCACCACCAGCGCCCAAACCACAACATGCAATATCGATTATGTTTTTTTTTCTTTCCAGACGTGGAGATTACGGGCAAAGATACCGACACATCCACTCGTCTGGTTCCACATCTTCCCGATCCTCCTAAATCTCTTCCTCGTCTCTATTCGTCTTTCTCTGCGGGTGTTACTGCGGGTTTGGGCAAAGTTACCGCTTCCGACAGTATCCCGGCGACCACCTCTTCCAGGGCGGATTTCGGGATACCCACCGCCTCGGTTCCAGAAGTTTCTGATCCTCCTGAACCTTATCCTCAGCACTTTTTCCTCTACGACGGGCCCTCCCATGATCGCGGTCATGGAGCCGAACGCCCGGAGCATCACCGCATCTCCGACAACCGCCGGAGACATATTGGGAACGACGCTGCCCGGAGCTGTCCGGCAACCGTCCCGCCCACTGCACAGGAGTCCGGATGGGCACGACCACTTCGGCGAGACGTTGCTGCCCGACCTGCGCCTCTACCCGCGGACTTCGGCATCTCACCTCTACCTCCGGCTCAGCACTCCGACCTCCAGCTTCAAGCAATCGACTTTCCACCTCCACCTCCACCTCCACCTATCGACCTCCAGCGTTCAGCAGTTCAGCACTCCGACCTCCACCTTCCAGCAGCATGTGACTTCCCGCCCCCACCTCCACCCATCGACTCCCAGCGCCCAGCAGCGCAGCACTCCGACCTCCACCGTCCAGCAGCATGCGACTTTCCACCTTCACCTCCACCTATCGACCTCTTAGGTGCCATCGGCCTGAGAGATATTTTAAGCATAAACGTTGCGCGCTGGTGCTAATTAAGACTTATCAGCTTCAACTAGTTCGGTTTGTTGTGGCCTTGATGCCTTGTTTCTGAGTCCAGCCCGACGCGTCCCTGCGCATCCCAGCCCTGCCAAACCAGTCGGTCTTGGCAGTCCAGCTCCGCCCGGCGCGCTGCGGTCGAGCCCCGCCGTCCTTGGAGGGCGAAAGAGGGGGTCTGCAACAGGGGGTCTTCAATGGGGGCTGACTGGCCCATGTGTGCTCAATGTATCGCTCATGTATGTGATCGGGTACGATTGGCATTCAATGCTGGCGGTCATTGGCGGCCAGTCATTCGCGCCCGCGCGATGCCCGGGCGGGCGCGCGCGCCGTCCATCCATGATCGTTCATACGTGCGGGCGTTCTTGCATATTGCGTGTGGGTCGGCGAAGTGGAGTGCAAGTGTGTCTTGATTGCGCGGTTGATGATCGCGTATGTTCCCAAACGATGACTTCTCGACCCCCAAGACAGATTTGGAATGGGCCCCGCGATTCTTCCAACATGTGAATTCACATTTTCCTTTCTCCCAAAATGTGAATTCACATTCTGGCCCCTTCATAAAGAATCCTACGCATAATTCCAAAATGTGAATTCACATTTTCCTTTTTCCCAAAATGTGAATTCACATTTTCCTTTTTCCCAAAATGTGAATTCACATTTTGTTTTCCCCACAATGTGAATTCACATTTTGCCCTGGCCTTCAAGATCCCCAAAACTGAGGCGCAGTGTTCCGCATGCCAGATTGGCTGGGCAGATTTCGACACTCACCTGACCGCTTTCGTTGCGCCCTTAGCGCACGTTGCCTTCGTCGCCTTCTCCGAGCCCCCCGACCCCTTGCTTCCTTTCCCCTCAAGCCTCGCGCGCGGGCGCAGGCGGGGGGCTTCAATTAGTTCCCCAGCCGAACACAGCAATCGAGGATGCATCGCCCATTCATGACTTTAAAAAACATCATTGCCGGGACCCTGCGCCCGACCCCCACTTTCACCCTCCAACGTCCTGGCTGGCCCGCTCGCCGCGGGCGGCCCCAGTGTTTTGGTCGCTGGCAGCGCGACCCCGCTGCGCTGACAGCGTTTCTGTTTCGTGAGATTCTCTCACGGGGCCTCTCTCTTTGACCCCCCGCGCCGCGCCCGGCATCTTCGAATTTCCGTGCCAATGCGCAAAACAATATGTGCAAACGCGTTTTTTCGTGGCTCCTTGTAAGACACGTAAATGTCAGCACGCCTGGGCCCCAAACGGTGTGTTTCCACGACCTGCATTTCGCGGCGTATGTGGTGCAATCTCTGTGGTGCTCAGTACGCGGTGCAATCTATGCGGAGCAATGCATGCCGTGAAATCCACGAAGCGACGTAGCGGCGACGGGGGGGGGCAACGGCGGCAACGCAGCCGCAAACATGGGCCGCCGGACCGAAGCATGACTGCCCTGGCGCCATAGGTCCAGAAATTTGTTGGACGCGCACATGACCACGTCGCCGACCTTGAAAAGGGGCCCGCCAATGTGTGGCTTCGGGAAAGCCTTGGCCTCCTTGCCGCCCTGCGCGTCGCCGCTGTTTTCCCTTGGCCGCCCTCGTCGCCCTCGTTGTCCTGCGTGCCGCCCTGGTTGGTCTGAGCGTCGTCCTTGTCGCCCTTCTCCTGCGCGCCCTTGGTCTCCGTCGCGCCGCCCTTGCCGCCCTCGTCCTCCTGCTCGGCCTGCGCGCCGACCGCGCTGACCTTCATGCCGCTCTTGCCATCCTTCTCCTCGGCCTGCTTCGCCTCCTGGGCCCTGATGCCCTCCTGGGTCTTCCGCGCCTCCTCCTCCTCCAAACGCTGCTTTTCCTCCAGAGCCTCGCGGGTTTTCTTCGCCTCCTGGACCTTCCTGGCCACGTCCGAGGCGTCTTTGGCCAACTGGGCGCGGCCGGGAATCCCGGGGGCCTTGTCCGAAGAAGGCGCTGACGCCATCCCGGCCTTGCCCTCCTCGGAGCCCGCCCCGTCGGCGACCGGCGCCTTGCGGACGACGACGACGACGACGACGACGACGGTGGCGACGACAAGATTCGACAAGTGTTCGACCGTTCCGTGTGCTTCCGGGTTCTTTTGTCCGTTTTTCGGTGCTACGTTTGTTTGCTAAACGCGGGCCTCAGGGGCCCTCGTCGCGCCCCGCGCCCCCTGCTTGAAGCCCCTGGAACCCCCCCAAACAGAGACAGAAAACGAACGCCCTTCGAGCACCATCGTCGCCGTCGCAGTCGTCGCCCCCGCGGGCGCCCCGAAGGTCTCCGTCGTCGTTGTCGCCGTCGCGTCGCAGTCGACGCCCAAGGTCTTCATGGCGCAAGTCTCATGCGACAGAGCCATGGCGCACGTCTTGATCAAGCTGGAGACGGCCCTCAACTTGGCGCACAAAGAGGCGGGAGACTTGGCAACCAGGTGGATGACATCAT